TTTTACTTACATTTTTAGTAGTTGCTCAGCAGGGAGGGGTGGAAGCTTCCAGACAGCTCGCCTTCGCTGCAGACAACTTGTAGCACCATTTGCAGAATGGGACTTTTGGCGGGCTCAGCAGGGCAGAGACAGCCTGGACAATTCCTATTGGCTTTTGAAAGCCAATAGAATTAGACTCTATTCAAGAGAGTCTATTCTATTGGCTTTCAAAAGCCAATAGAAAAGGGAGTAGCACAGCTAAGGGGGAAAAATGGTGGACTGTGTTGCTTGGCGACCCCCGTGAAATGGTCGTTCGACCCTAAATGGGGTCCCGACCCACAGGTTGAGAACCACTGTTCTATCATTTCATCTCTGTTAGTGAGAATTAGATCCAAAATGGCTAATCCCCTAGTTCCCTTCTCTACCTTTTGGGAGACAAAGTTGTCTGCTAGGTTTGTCAGGAACCTGTTTGATCTTCCACTTGCTGCAGAGTTTGTCTCCCAGTTGATGTCAAGGTAATTAAAGTCCCCCATTACTATTGTGATGTGCTTCCTACATACCTTAGTTAGTTGACTAGCAAAAAATTCATCTATTTCCTGTTTGGTTGGGCGGCCTATAGTATACACCTATGGCAATGTCATTCCCCCCCCCCTCCTTTTATATTGACCCAAATGCATTCAAGACAGTTTTCATCATTGTTGTGCTCTATTTCTGTGGAGATGTAGTTATTTCTTATATAGAGAGCAACTCCATCTCTTTTGTTTGGTCTGTTTCTTTTAAATAATTTAAATCCCTCTAGCTGTGTGTTCCATGTGTGGGTTTCATTCCTCCATGTTTCCGTAATGGCAACAATATCATATCTGCCCTCATTTCCCTGAATTTCTAGTTCACCCTGTTTACTGTGCATACTCTGTGACTGTTCACAAAGTACCAAATACTGTACATGTAGTTCACTGAAGATGAATTTTGTTTTCCTTACAGTCCCTGCTCCAGGACAGAAATCTGAGATAAATTTTGACCTGAGTGCAGGTCAGTATTCTCAACAGGTTGTTGAGAATATTCTGTTATTAATGAAATAATAACAGAAACTTTTGAGTTTCTTTATACCTGTTTTATTTCATATAAACCTTATATGAAAATATTCATTCCACTTCTAAGGTTCAAAAATTAATGTTTATTTTAAAAATAGATCTACTTTAAAGTACTGGAATTACAAAAATAGTTTAACAATGTGCACTAAAGATTCTGAAACTAGGGCAAGGAATGTTTTGTTTAATTTCCTGATATATTGCAAAATCTCAGATACTCAAATAACTTCCATTTGAGGTGTCTAATGTAACATATCTTCAGAGATGGAAATTTACTAGCTGTTGACATCAGCACATAGAACAGTACAGCTGGCTATACAATAACACACAAATATTGGGTAGATCAAATACAACTTTGAGATATTCCAATCTGTAGGTAATAAGTCTTGTTATAACTCAGAAATATTTTATAAAATATTGTGACAAATTCTTCACTAATTATCCACCATGTTCCTTTTTCACTGAGATAACTAATTGCTTGATTATGCCACCATAGATAATGGTAATTATTCTGCTTTAGCAGTACAGCCAAACTGTAAGGCCCAATCTCTACATATGGATGTAGTAAACTAGAGTCCAGTAAAACAAGTTTTGGAAAATGATTTATAGCTGGCTATTTACCTCTGGAAAGAAAAGTTTATAAATAATTTAAACTATCTGTCTATTCATTTCACCTCACCAGCAGTCCTCTTGTTCTGTGTTTCTTTGGTGACTTTAAGATGTGATCACTTCAACTCTCAGAATTCTCCAGCTGGGAATTAAGCCAATATAGGTTAAGAAAATTGTCTCTAAATTAAATTTAGTGAAGAAACAAAACCAGAAAAGTGTGATTCTTTATAAAAAATACACATTTCTGAGAAAAGTTAAAAGAGACAATGAAAAAGCGAATCTATTTTATACGTGTAATTACACTGAAAGGTGATTCATTGATAGCATATATATATTAATATATAGAATATATACATTCTCATGAAATGCTGGATAGGCTGTACCAAGAATGCCACCACAGTATTGTGCATACAAGGACTTTCAATGTTAAAAGTAACTGGAAACTATTATATTGAATATTTTTTTCCCATCATAATCTCTAAGGAAAAAAAACATAAAATTAAAACCCCTATAAAAATGAAACTGAAAAGATAAGAGAAACTGTAGATTCTGAAGAGTGCAGTTAGAAGGGAAAATGCTTTTCATTAAAATGCTGGTTAACCTGAACACTTGTTATGCTGCCGCCCCTGCAAGGATGCAAGGCAGTACTCTAAATTTGGCTTTCCTATTCAGAAGAATATTTTTCCTTTTTAACATAACATGACTTCAGTGGAAGTCATTGTTTTGCAAAGTCACCTTTAGAAAGGATTAAAATGTTTCATTTATCATAATTTGTGTACTGTGTTCACCTGCCATTAAGTATTTTGCAATACTTACTAATATGCCTATCATTTAAGTCCTCTTCAGGTATTTCTAATAGGGACTGAACAGAGGACTTGACTCTCTATCCATCACTGTCTCATGTTGACTCATGAAACGTAGAGAGGAATTACCTACAACTGGCCAGCCTAATCTCCCAACTTTCACAAGATTGGGAGCCCAGATTTTAATCTTGTGGATTGGATGAGTTTAACCAAGGACAATTGAATGTGGTTACTCCAGTGGTGGGATTCAGCCAGTTCACATCACTTCTGCAGAACCAATAGCTAATTTTTTGTTGCCCAGGCCCAGAATGGACTTCCGGAACCGGCATCCACATAGGGAACCGGTTGCTCACATATTTTAATCCCACCATTGGGTTACTCCCTCCCCAGAGACTCTGATGCTAGCTATATGAAAGAGATAATATTTAAAACAATAAATGAACACCAACAAAAATGCCAGTTCATAAAAATGCAAACATATGCTGTGCAAAACGTACCCTGGACCAATTTGGCAATTAAAACATTCAGGTGATTTAGTCTTCCCAGACACTGAATCACTTTTGAGTAATGATCATATTCTGTGGCATGAAAAAAAAAGCTTTCCATCTAAAACAGTCATAAATCATTTTTTTCAGTGCCATTGAATGATTGTTAAGGCTTACCTGTACAATCAACCTATGTAGAATAAAATCCCTGTGTAGGTTTTATGAATTGTCTCCCTATCTTTTAGAGCATATGGATGAGATGACTCTATCAAATATTGAGAGAAAATGGTGGCAGAACAATCCAGCTCTTCTGCAACCACAGCATAATCATGGCAGAACAAAAAATGCCAGAAAGCTTCCTGCTTTCTTTCCTGATAGCAAAAATGATAAAGAAAAGGACAAGAATGGGAGGGTGGATGTAAGGTATTTAAATGTTTCACATATTGTCTGGATATTCCTAAATTAAATCCAACACAGATTCTTCTTTTTAATGTGCACTTTAGCCCACTTCAATTTCTTTTCTGAAAGCCTGTAATATATTTAGCAGGAGTGCTGTTTTGTGCCCTGATGGAAATATTGACTTCCTGATAAATGTGCAGTCACTCTTCCGTATAGTCAGCATTCTAATAAGTAAACAAGCAAATGAACAAACCAACAAGTACTGTACAAACAAGTAAGCATGTACGAACATAACCAATGCAGGCATTTGTCACAACAAAAGACTTCATGTGAAACTGATTTAAGGTTTGGTCAGTTTAAGGAAGCATCACCAGCTGGGGAAAAGACTCTACTCAACTAATCAAGGTCAAAGGGTTGAGCTTATTAACTTCCAAGTTTTAGGGAGAGAGGCACTGTGGAGAAAAGCAGCTCAGGAAGAGATTGCTTGTTTGAACAATTTCTCTGCCCTGCAATGGGGCAAAAAAAGGGGAAAAACCCAGGCGAGGCACAGGATACTGTAGGGGAGAACTTTAGCCTCAATGAGACAGAATGTCTATGGAGATTCTCAATCATCCAGATCATAGTTGTCCCAAAGTTGCTTTTTCCCAAAGGTAACTGGACTTTGTTTTTTTTCCCTTTGAAAACATTTAGGTTCTCATTCAATAAGCTTCTTCAGTTCTCTGTATCATGTGGTTTGCTTAACAACCATTTTGCCAAAACTAATTGCAGTCACTAAATAAGGATTACCTGTAAGAGACAGGCAGTGCTGACAAGGTGTCCCATCCTTCCCGCAGCCAAAGCAACATTGTCCATGGAAGCATAGGATGCTCTAGCCAGATGCTCCTGCAGTAGGCCAGCTGGGGCCCAGCAGGATGCCAATCTTCTGAAAAGTCCTCCATGGAACATAGTCACATGGAAAATACCATCAGGATCCATCTTCAGTTCTTCTCAAAGAGGGCTGGTCATGAAAGAGAGCCCCATAGTAAGAACATGTCTTTTGCAAAAGCTGAGTATAACTTCTTGGTCCTGGCTCTGTGGATATGCCCTAGGTCAGGGGTAGGCAACCTTGGCTCTTTTATGATTCGTGGACTTCAACTTCCAGAATTGGCTCAGGAATTCTGGGAGTTGAAGTCGAGTCATAAAGGAGCCAAGGTTGCCTACCCCTCCCCTAGGTAATCTTTCCCCAGATCTTGGTTTACTGATTGTAGGTATACAAAATACTCAGTCTGAATAACACTTCTATCAACATTTTCTTCTTTTGAAAGGGAACTTGTACAAACTCACATCTTCAGACTAATAACTGAAATGGGGCACTTTTACTACTAGATTACAATTACTCTTGGAATTATCAGAGACATAAATCAGTTAAAATAACTGGATTTCAATCGACATATACACCAATCCTGATAACGTTGACCAGCATATCCGCATGAAATATCATGTAGCAATGTTAATATAATTGAGGTTTATTTTTTTAATTATTTTTTTTAGACTGCACACTTTTGGTTCATACTATTTTTAATATTTTATTTATATTTTTAATATGTAACAAAATTACCATTTTAAATGGAACATTTGATAAACAAATAATGCTATAATTGTACAGGAATATTACTTAAATATTTTTTTTAAATGCATAGTATTGCAGAAGGCTACAATCTGTTTCTCTGAAAAGAAATGGCCCTTGACACAAGTAATTGTTGGCTTCCGCTATACACTGAGCAAGCAGACATCTTCCTGACCAAGTGATTTCTCCTGTCTTTTCTCCCCATTCAGTACGTATCTGTAGTGCAGCTCTGGAGGACACAAGAGGGAGTTGTAGTAAGACAGAGATAATGTTCTATCAAGGATGTCCCATCTGTTGGCAAACAGATGTTGGGGGATTTCATTCAATTTATTCCTTGACTTGAATTTTAGTAGTTGAGTAGAAGGAAGGTATGCATGAAAAGAAGAAAATGCTTTCAAACTCAGAACAAACTCCCACATTCTGAAATTTCTACTGAACTATTCTGGACCATATGTGGTTGAGTAGACCCAAACCCTGGACCACTTTGATTGTTTCATGGCTTAGGTGAAATTAAAGGTAAATAGGGAAGCTGGTATCCTTTCCTCTCTCCCCTTATCAGCTTCTAGCACAGCATATCTGATTAGCCCACTGCCCTATCAAGGGTCTTCTCTTTCTTCTCAGTTGGCCCATGTAGTGTCTCCATGGTCCAGTCTGTGCTTCCCATTTCTGTTGTTTAGTTGCTTCCATCCTTGGCCTCCTCCTCAGGCCTCCTCACCCTCACCCACAATTCCTTTTTCCAGGATCAAAATTGCCTCCCCCCCCCCATGTACAGAGCCCCAAAATGGGTTACTCAAAATGGGTCAACTCAGGTATGGGCCATCAAAAACAATTGTTCCATGCACAGAACATTGCACACAACCGTAACACAATATGGCTTTCACTCCTTCTACTCAGAAGTAATATATTTAAGACACATAGTTTACATCTCTACAAATACAATAAAATGTTTAAACAAAATAAAAGACATAATTATATCAAAAGTATTCATAACTTTTTAAATAAAAAATCTGTTCTATAAAGACTTAATGCACAAAAAGAAACAAGACTTAATTTTCCCACTTGCAGCTGAAGAGACCAATCTGAATTTAGTTAATGTACTACACTAAAATAATAAAACTGATGCTCTGAGTATTGTAAAAGGAAGTTTTGTACAATATGTGTAATTTTACTTTATATTTTAAAAGTTTATAAGCTGTGATGCAGTGTAATTTTAACATTGTGACCTGCATGATTCAGTCATACAATATCATATGCAGTCAAATTAGTTTATATAAATGTAAAGTTACCTAAATTAAAATTCAAAGTGGGCACAGTGGAAGCACCTCATGTTTATATCCAAAGCACTTACAGATCATTATCTGCTGCAACTGGCATATTATAGCCAATTATATTTACCCTGTAGAAGACAATGGACTAAAAACAATTTTCAGATGTTGCAACCAACATATTAAACATAACATATTGAATGAAAATTGGAAAATACAGCATAAATGACTGACTTTTTCCCAGTTCCTCTGTGAAACCAAAATTGCATCTATTTCAATTTAATTTGTGAAATAACATGTAATTCTATACTTTACAAATCCCACTTTAGGAATGATTTAGAAGTTAAGAGTTTGGTTATGCTTTTCAAGTTATAAGAGGTAGAGAAGGAGGATATGCAAATTCATAGTGCTTCCTTTGTCATAGTTTTTATCGTGCATAAATTGGCGCTAAGGAATCAGCTGTATGAAAACAGGGATGCTTTACATAAGAAATTACAGTTAGGTTGCAAAACCTATTTTCTAAACACTTAGGCAAGTCTTGTGGCATTTTGGTTTTGCAACTTTTTTTAACCTAAAGAATAAAATACTCATGAAATTGTCATGAAATTGCTGTATTTGCAAGGCACAAAGGCTGCTAAACAAGGCAAATTTGGCACACAAAACACAATATTTCTTCTTGTTTAGATTCATCCCTGATATAAAACAAGCTGGTTATGGTGAGGATTCTTACCTAGATAATGAACACATAGTTAAGAGAACTGGCCAACTGATGAATTATTTAAAATAAGTATCATAATACTTTGTTCTGTTTAACAATGGCAGTGGTTTAAATTTTCTGTTCTGTGCTTCTTTTGGAATTTTGATACCACTTGCGGATAACTGTTCCAGAACTACTGGCTACCACACAAAGAGCACCTCCCACTGTCCACCATCTTGGTATATGATTAAGAAAAAGGACTTGAAAAATAAAAGCGAACACCACATCCATGGTTTTCATTATAGCAACAGGACCAGCTTTTTCAATCTGTAATGCTTTAGTAAGAAATATCTGACCACCAAGTCCTAACAATCCAATTGATATTAGGAGAAATCTGTCTATACCACAATTGGGCAAAGTCCACGCGTCCATTATAAAAAGTGCTATTATACACACAATCAGCCCAATTATTGCATAATACCAAATAGACAAAAAGTAATGGACAGATTTTCCCACTTTTCTTAGGATCACAAAAGTTAAGGCAGCGGCTACTGCACTTGCAATGGCTGCTATGGTTCCTTTAAGGTGATCTGTGTAACTTTCTTCCATGTCAAGAACACTGGATCCAAACAGAAAAGGTGGCCTTGCTATAAGCACTACTCCCGTGATTGTAATCAGAGTGAAAAGAAGGTCCCAGAGACTGTATTTCTCTCTGAGGAAGATCCAGGCAAAGAAGGATGTAAAAACTGGGCTGCTGAAGGTAATGACGGTAGCATCAGCAAGAGGCATCACTTGGAAAGCATAATAAACAAGGATCATTGCACCAGAGCCAAGCAATCCTCGGAGGAAAAGAAACATTCGCTTGTCCTTTGGTCCTAGGAATCCTGTTCTGAAATGAAAGAAACATATACAGAGAGACATCATAGCTACCCTATGCCTGAGACTCAATAATCATACCCCGGTCCCTAACAAAGGGGCTTTAAACTTGGCCCTTTTATGACTTGTGGACTTCAACTCCCATTTTTTTCCACACAGACTAATCAACATTCTATTACTCTCCTCTGTCTTCATCTGCTACTGAGCTTGTAATTAGGAAGTTCAAACTATGAATGCCATCTTATGAAAGCTATACAAGTCTCATTCAAGTTGAATTTGACTCATGGGGACATCTATACAATTTTCTGATCAATAGTTCAGAAATGGTTTGCCATCAAATTCTTTAGTTTTTTTTTTTTTTTAATTTTCCAGTCTGGTCTATGGACCTGGCATTATATGCATGTATATGGCTACCCATCTCAAACACACAATACTGAGCAGCTAACAATACTTAAAAACAGAATAAAAACAATATAACAAAATTATAAATAATAATGTAAATAGCAGGCAGGGAAAAACAACAACCAAGATCAATAGAAGTAATCCTCAACTTACAATAATTCATTTAGTGACTGTTCAAAGTTACAACAGCACTGCAAAAAGTGACTTATGACCATTTTCCACCCTTATGACCGTTGCAGCATCCCCAGGGTCACGTGATCAAAATTTGAATGGCAACTGGTTTATGTTCATAACAGTTGCAGAGTTCTAGGGTCATGTGATCACCTTTTGCAACCTTCTGACAAGAAAAGTTAATGGGAAAATCAGATTCACTTAATAACCGTGTTACTAACTTAACAACTACAGTGACCCACTTAACAATTGTGACAAGAAATGTCAAAAAAATGGGACAAAATTCACTTAACAAATGTCTCACTTAGCAACAGAAATTTTGGGCTCAATCATGGTCATAAGTCGAGGACTACCTGTAATTAAAATAACCATGAAATGGGCTCCCTTATTCCCTGGTAGTCTCTCATCTTGGAGGAGATGAGCCAGATGCCATCACCTTCATACATCTGTACAATTGTCAATTCTCTTGGATTTGTCATGATGTGCATACCTATAGAGCCCTCACTTCCTGAAGCAGTGTCTCACAGCTGCAACTCAATGGCAACCTCAAACATTGGTGTGGTCCTTGTCTAAGATATGGACTCAGGTGAATGCATTATATATTAAGCAATGTAATAAGGCACTTTTTATACCTTTGCTATAGAAGTATACTGAATCCAGAAGAATAAAACTGAAGTCTCCTGTTTTATTCACAATTCATTACTCTGTCTTCAAGTCCCTTCTATGCAGCCCTTTTCTCTGGCTGGGAAATCCCATCAAGATAAAAATATAAGCTAATAATGTATAAATATATAAAAATGATCAACAAGCCAACCCTGGGAGAAATCAGGATTCTCATTCAGCCTACTAAAGTTAGTGTATTAATCTTCTTTCCCCCAATCCTGTTTTACACAGATCTGACAGCACCTTAATTGGATTTAAGTCTGCTATCATCACATTAGCTGTGCTTCAGATTTGTAAAATACATGTCATGCATCCCTGTATCAATTTAAAATATTGTGAAATTAAGTCATGTTAGCTGCAAAAGGTATTTCACTTCTCATCCAATAACCTTCCTCAGTTTTGACTAAAAAGGTTCTTGGTTGAGAAGTAAAATGTTTTCAAGGAAAAAACCCAAGAAAGTCCAGTTGCCTTTGGGATAACCATGATCTGGATGATTGAGAATCTCCATATTTTTGTACATTTTAATTTTCTATGAAGTTTTTTTTTTTACATGCAAAAGGAAGAGAATACTCACTTGAAGTATATTAATCCAGGAAGAACAAATGTTATTTGAAAAACACATCTAATAGCACTGATTTCCACTGAATGAACATCTTCAATTTTCTTTAGAAATAAAGAAGCAACAGAGAACAGGAAGGCAGATAATAATGTATAGAACAAGCCAAGCCCTGGACATCCATTTTTCTTCTTTATTCCTAGAATGGAATAATTGTAGTTTTCAGTTAGCAATGGATAATTAAAAAAATAAAAAATATTTTTTGTATGTATGGCGACATTTGAAGAAGAAACACTCAGGAAGAATACATTGCGGTTCTATATTGCCTGAGAGCCCCTATCCCTATAGACATGCAAATGTTAATATATATACATATATGTATATTTTTTAAATTGAAATAAAGTGAATACATAGTGATTTATACACTGTTATGAAGAATAGTTAATTCTGGGTTACACATTTGGGGAAAAATTGTTCAGATTGATAATATTTAGTCAAAAATGTTGAAGGCCAGTTAATGTAATAATCATTCACCTTCATTCAGAAGAAAAGAGCTCAATCAACTAATATTTTCTTACACATAAAATAATAACAAAAGGAAAAAACCCCAATAATTCACTATATACCGAAGAAAATGATTGTAGCCACTGTTTCTCAACCTTGGTAATTTTAAAATGTGTGGCCTTCAAGTCCCAGAATTTCCCAACCAGAGTATGTTGGCTGTGGAATTCTGGGAGGTGAAGTCCACACACCTTCAAGTTGCCGAAGCTGAGAAACACTGATATTGAGTGACACACTAATAATAAATATCAGAGCCCAGACAATTATGTGAACCAAATGAAGCCCAGAAACACAAAGAATATTTTATTTGTTAAATTTATATCCCATAGTTCAAAGTTTTATAGATACCGTGTTTCCCCAAAAATAAGTCCTAGTTTTGGGGTGAGGCACATGCCTAAAAATCAAGCTAGGGCAGGGGTGGGGATATGGAGCTGCTCCACATGCCCCACACCCACTTACCTTGCAGGCAGGCCTCTCCTCGCCGGCCCACTTCTTCTGTAGCGTCTTCTGCAGTCAGGCCTGCATTTCTCAGTCACAGGTCTTTCCAGAAGGCCACTGCAGCTGAGAACAGAGCTATGATTCAATCCATATCTTGGTTCTGCAAGACCTCTGCAGCTGAGAACCGAGCTATGGATTGAATCCATAGGGGCTGTTGGAGCCGGAGGTGAGTATAAAAGACATCCCCCCCAAAATAAGACCTGGTGTCTCTTCAAGAGGGAAAAAACAAAAACAAAATAAGACCTGGTCTTATTTTCGGGGAAACACGGTAGCACTTCCTCCTTGTTTTCCCACAACAACAATTCTGTGAGATAAGTTGATCACATAGAGAGTGACTGCTTAAAGTCATCCACTGAGTCTCCACCAAGGGTAGACTTGGGCTTGAGCCTCCTTTTTCCTACCTAGCTTAATACGTTAATCACTACAACATTCTCTTGGCCTTCAATTAATATATTTAGAAAGGAATAACAGAAGAAAAATACAACCAGAATAATTCAGAATGATTATAAGAGAAATACTAAGAGCTTTACTTCAAGGCTGCTAATGGATAATTAAAAAGAATTGATGTCATGAGCTAACTTCAGGAGGCATAGGTTCAGAACTACTGTATGTAGCAAGAGAGCTTGCTTATTTATAGTGGCAACAAAAATTCAGATGCTAGCATCCTTTCTGCTAACTGTAATGGGATGTGTGGATGACCTTGAGGGAAGGGGGGAAGAGATGCTGTCTAGGAAGCCATCAGAGAAGAGAGGTAGGAGCCCCTAGTGACTTAAGGGTCAGAAAAAGAAACTTAGGAAGGACCCACTTTAACTGATCAAGCTATTAAAAGTTTGTACCTTGAGTTTTGCAAGACTGATGTCAGACCTCCCAAATAAACCAGTCAGGAGACACAACTAAATGAACTAATTCTACTTTATTGCAAGGCTACGTTAACAGAATCTTGCAAGATTCTCAAGGACTCAGGATGGTCAGGACCAGTTAATTAATACATGCTCAACATCCAACAGTAAAAAGAAACAAGAAGTTCTGGGACAATGTATGCATCTTTTTCTTCTTTCTAAAGAATTTGCTGAAGACAGAGAAGATAATCAAGAATTTTCTTAGGACCTGGATGCTTCCAGAAACTGCATATAGTACTCTTAGGAAAGTAATAATGCTTTGCAATTATTTTTCCCCTCCCCTGTTCTGGATTAGTTCATCTAAGGTGATTAAACAAGCCAAAGATATGTCTCGGGATTTAGTGACTGAAACAAAGCATGATTTGGCGAGGTGCTCCTGTCAGTTGCTAGGCAATGAGGAATTGAACCTGAAACTTGAGAATCACTGTTTTCTAATACTGAACAGCTGTGAATCCAAGGTGACAAAATATAGAAGGTCATGGCCTAGCCATTTCAGATCATGTAGATCTGTGCTAAAATCAGCTTTCAACCAGCAGTGAACTTTCCATTTTGAAAAGACTGAATCTTGAATCACTGGTGACACTAATGTGCTTAAGATTAATAATTATGCTTGATATGAGAAATCAAACATGGATTTTACAGTATCGTGATTTAGTAGATCTAGCATCCAATATCCACAAGTGAAAAATAAGTATTGTATTTCTTACAGGTGGTCTGTGGAGAGGTCACAAAAGTTGAGATGGCAATCACAAATTCCACCGCTTTGTATATCATCGATGTTGCATATGGGCATGAGATTCTTGATCTCTTTTCTACAAATGTCCCTGAGTTCTTACATATTCAAGAAAATAAAGCTGGGGATAAAGTCTTTAAAGACTTCCTACAGTAAAAAGAGTAAAAAATTATGTTATATATTAGCTCAGTACTTTTGCCATTTATATCCATTTGTCAAAAAATGTAGTGGTTTAGAAAAAGCAATTTTTACAAGTTTTATGAGAGGTAACTTGACAATAAAATGCTGCCCGGCATTGATAACTTCTTTGTTTGATCTAGGAGAGATCTTCATATGTTGTATTTTATTTTGTTTTTCTCATCAGAGACACGCAAACTAACAAATGATATCATTGGAATATAAAAATAGGCACATTCAACTATTTCCTCTCCTTTTTCAAAGAAAGGCCCTTTTTCAAGAATACCTGAAGATTATTGATAATTCCCAATTGCCAATACTGAGTGATGTAGCCCGCTTGGAGCAAAACAGGCTGAGATCTAGACATCCAGCTATCCAGCACTTGTAAAAGATGATTTCAACACTCACAACATGTGGAAACAACATGGATAGAAAATTGCCCCCCACAATTTGAAGCTTTCGCTGCATCTTGGAAAAACCAGCCCCATGCATTATGGACAACACTGAACCAAATTTGCATTGGTTGTGATTGATGTGCAGAAGCCCTCTGTAAGTGGAACAAAATATCATCACCAAATTGTGATTGTGGGGCTGAAAAACAAACGATCCAACACATAGTGACAGAGTGTCAAAACAGAGCCTATAATGGAGATTTCACTGATTTCCTGTCTGCAACAAATGAAGTAAAAAATTATATTTGCAACTTAGACTCACTTTTGTAATCTTCCTGTTAGGAGTTCAGATTTTATATTCTGTTTTGTATTTTACCCGTGTTCCTTTTACTGAAATATGATATGAATGTGCCATACGATAGATTGCTAAACCGACAAATATAATAAATAAATATCCAGTGTTCTTTTTTTATCAATGCATGTCCAAATTTCAAGAAACAGAAGACGAACATGACAGGCAGAAAGATGCTGCAGTCACTGACCAATTCAAAACCAAAAACATATTCTGAGCAGCAAATAAAAACCACAGAAAAGCATAATAATAAAAATAGCCTACATTTTGGTGTGCCAAAATGTGACCTGTTATACAAACAGCAAAACAAAATTTAGCCATGTTCAGAGAAATAAAATCACATTAATCAGACAGTTACAACTTTAAATAAACTGAATCTGGATAACCTCAAAATCAGACTAGATGGGGATTTGTTAACTGACAGAATTACAGAATAATAGAGTTGGTAGGGTTCTTGAAGGTCATCTAGTCCAACCTCCTGCTCAGGCAGGAAACCTTATACCATTTCAGACAAATGGCTGTCTAGTCTCTTAAAAACTTTCAGTGTTGGAGTACCCACAACTTCTGGAGGCAAGTTGTTCCACTGATCGATTGTTCTAACTGTCAGGAAATTTCTCCTTAGTTCCAGATTGCTTCTCTTCTTGTTAATTGCATTCAGGCATCTTTATAATAAGGGTAGTACACAGTAAAATGTGGGTTAATGTTTCAGGAACTCCTTTCCCACAATATGATACTCTGTACTTTCCATTCAAAAATTGTGGTTGGAACATTAAATCTTGCCAGGGTTAGGGTTCTTCTGAATTCATATAGTTAAGATGTAAAATCTCATAATTACCAGGCAATACCAGTGACATTTTTTATAAATTGAAAGTAAATGTTTATATTTGCTAGTAACGTGCAAATATTTATATTTCAGAAATGGGTAGAAATCTTTTTTGCAACCAGAGTCTGTTTCTTTTACGGCATCTGAGAATTGCAGAAGGGATGGTAGTGTTATCCGTACAGAGGATGGATTGAAATGTTCAGTCTATTTGGGTGGTAAGATTGGAGAGATTTAGTTAACTTTATTCAGTTAATGAAGATGCAGCAGTTAAGGTAAAGAAAAGCACTGAGATTAGCAGAGGATAACCTACTTTCAGCCTTTTTTTTAAAAAAAAAAGATGACTCATGCTATGGAAAATCGACAACTAGTTGGCATGTTTTAGGAGCACTTCTCCTTTGACCACAGATATGGGTCTGGGGAGATCATATACTGACAATAGCTTACCCAGTCCAGATTCCCATTAAAAATAATTACTTGAATCTTATCAATCTAGGAAGTAAAAAAAAATTAAAGAAGCAGGCAAGTTCCATACTGAAGGTGTCTATGAAGTCACTAAGAGGTGAGCTTAACTCAAATCAGACTACCTTTCTGTCTAGCTTAGAAGATCACTGCATTTGGAGACTTATTGGATAATAAATTTATATCTGATTATTTAAAATTAACCTAGTTGTTCTTTAAGAGAGATTTAATGTTTGAAAGACCAGATACAAGAAATTCTTGACTTACAGTTAACAATTGTTCATAGTTACAATTGACTCTTAAAA